GATTAGTTTTAAAATGTTTTGAAAAAGTTTTAAATTGGCATGAAATTTTTGGGTGTTACAGTTTGTGAATAACTATTATTCAAGTTTAACAATCCCTTGTTAAAACTAGTGCCAATTGTTACTACATCAGGCTATGGTTCTTGAGCTGCTTCAAGTTCCATATGCGTGCCACTTACTTTGTCATTAGAAGCTTGTTTTCTACTAACTCAGCTTTCACAAGAATAAGAGAACTTAGTCTTGATGGGTTTCCATATAATAATCTACACCACATTTAGAGCATTATACAAATATATATTTAGTAGATTTTGGGTTTAGAAGCTTTAGTCCAACACAGGCTTCAAATCCACAAAAAATTTAAATAAGATATGGTTGGAGCCTTTCCATACAAGATCATATAAAGAAAATATTTTATCTACTTATTAGTTGGTATTTGTACTCGAAGTACAACTGATAGTGTTCTAGGTGTTATCCCAAGAAAATAAAAGGAGGACATTTCTACCGATTAGAAAGCAAATCATACAAAGTAAGATTTAATTTATCATTTATTATCATCAAGGCTTTAGATAGTTCTTACTGGTTTGTATCTCAACTTTATATTTAAAAGCTTCAACCAAGATTTCAAAATTATTCTTTACCGTGTAAAATATAATTATAACTACTATAGAGAAAACTATCATAAAAAGGGGGATAATGAACGTAGTAAGCTTTATGCTCGCACTCTATCATTTCAGGGAGTATGATAATCGAGGAGAAGCCTTAGTGACTTAATTATCACAAGGAGTATCTTTAGGGAGGATGGTAACTTTTGGTGGTTATAGTAACACCAAAAATTGGAGTGATGGTAGAACTGATATGGTATGGGGAATATTTATGTTATATGTTATTGAAAGGCATTATGTAATTGATTTTTTATGTGTTGAAATGTTATTTTTATATCATATTATGTGAATATATATATATATATATATATATATATTTTTTTTTCTATTCACTAAACTTATTAGCTTATCATATGTTTTTTGACGTACCTTTCAGGAACCGGTGACACTGATATGGGTAAGGGTACAATTGAATGATAGAAGATCAAAGATTCTTTCATAACTTTGCTTTTGAACTATAATGTAATTGTAATACCCAAACTTGATGTGTGAATGACCTTGTTTTTTATATTTTGATAACTACTTGTATGTTTGTTTAATAAGAATGCACACATAACTAGTTATTGTTTTGTTTTAAAAAAAATTGGTATACTTCATGTTAAATTGTCAGAAGTTAAATTGCATGCATGGAAGCTTTGACAATGTCATAGTGTTTCCATTTAGCTTGTTGTTGAAACAAGTATTCAGTTCACCAAGCATCTCATTGGGTTGTAATTTCCAAGTCCTTTTGAAGAACTAGAGCCATACTGGCCAACATGAGGCATGTTATCTCATCATGCTTATTATTCTTCCCTTGCTAGTTGGGTTGGGAAGTAGAGGATGCATTTTCTAAAGGTGGATCAGAGAGAGCCTCTTCTATGACGTGCAACTTATTTTCATGCTTGAAAATAATTTTCTAGTTACATTGATAGTCGTTAAAGTTTATATCACTTGTTTGTCCTCATTGAGAAGAGATTGGATGGACAAGTTATTAACCGACACAACAACCATCTATAAGAGATAAAAGGTTTGGATTTTAGTATTTGTTAACTATTAGTTATCCTTATTAAATGGATTACCCTTTTGTTTGTTTTAAAACTCAATTTAAAAAGGCTAAGATCCATATTTGATGACTTCTATTATGCTCTATTGATCATACACATAATAACAGGTCCAATTAGTGTAGGTAACGATTACCAAATATATAAACTATACAACTTTTGGATATTTATGGGACTCAATTTAGGTCAGCATGTATCTTTAAGGAATGTGTATCTCATCATTTCCCCATGCTTAGTTCTGACCAGGGAGATGGTTGAATTGTCCAATTTTGAACGTGTGAATTTTTTGCTTAGATCTGACCAGGGCGGAGAAATTTACCTTACGATGATATATGGGTGGGTTTGACCATTCCAAAAAATACCAACAAGTTGTTCCAACTATTGATTGGAAAAATTAAATTTTATGGGTGTTGTTATCTTGTGTGTTGCTTTTTAATTAACAAAATATGGTGTTTACAAAACTGATCATGCATACAATGTCTTTGTCTCATGTTTAACCGTTAAAACCATGTATCAGGCGTAAAACCCATTTGGGGCCATCCTCACTCCTGTTGGGTTTGTTCTATTTGATCCATCGGTTGCTAAGGTTTAGTTGGTAGACAAACGTATTGTTAAGTTTTTGAGCTTGATCTTCCTTTTCACCTTATTTCCTTTATGGAGATCAAAATTGAAGATTAGTGGAGGATTCTAAATCAATTTCTTGTCATTTAAGCCTATAAGTTCACATTTCATCACAAATTTGAATTTCTAGATGAATATCTTGATTTTTAGTCTATGATTAGTATATAATCTCTTATTTTGATCATGAAATTGTGGATGAGAGTTCATCTCATTGACCACACTTGATTTTTGAAGCTTTAGTGGTGATTTTGAAGTCCTAACTTCAGAAATCAACCATTTTATCCTTCGAAACTTGATCACCATCTAATCTTAATGATATGCGTAAGTTTTAAGATCATGTGTCCAAATTTTGGTTTAAATTCTTGAACTTAATCAATCGTGGATTTAGGAGCTTTAATGAAGTTTTTGAGTTCATAATTGAACAAATCTCTAAGTACTCGTCAAGTTGTGATAGAATAATGTTGAGAAGATTTAATTATGATTTGGAGTCATATTTTGATGTCATAATTGCAAATCATATGTGAGAAACAAGTCTATAAGTCATTAATAGATATTGAACTTTGAAAATGGAAATTATCAAAGTTGTGAAGTTTTAAATCATTAAGACTTCATATAGCAATTTAATCAATTTTATGATGATTATGATGTTAATTAGTGTTTAGAACATTTATTTAAATGTTAGATAACCATATCATGTCATTAAAAGTGGAATTGAAAATGTTAGGATTAAATTGCAAATATTTTAAAAGCTTAGAAGTGCAAAAAACTTGTAATAATGATTTCAGGAGAATCCACGTGACCGAATGGAACTACAAGACAAAATCCACTCGATTGAGTATTTAAAAGTGTTGTAACTTTTGTTCTAGTTGATCCATTGCTCTTCTAATAACTTACAATATATATATATATATATATATATATATATATATATATACACTTGATAAAATAAATTTTCAAATGTTAGCGTCATTAAGAACTTAATTAGTGGTAGAGTAGTAACTAAACTTTGATGTATATTTTGACCATTAGCCATCCAGACACTACTAGAAGTGAAGTTATGCCTCTACCACAAATTAAGAGGAGTTATTACCTAAGAATACAAGTCCCTAACTTATTTTGATGTTTTGATGATCTAAATTTCCTCTTTATGAGATATCTTATATCTATTCTTCAAGAATATTATATTTATGTTGTGTTCATTCATGAAAGTATTTTTGAAATGATGTAATTATAAATATGGACAACTTTGATGCTTTGAAATTTGTTTTTTTCATGAACTTGTGCATCTACTTAGGGTGGGTTTGAGATTTTGTGGCTACTTAAGACCAGATACCCAACTATTGATGAGTGATGGCATTCTAGACAATCCGTACTTGCACTTGAGGGTTGCTACCTCTTGTGTGGTCCATATGTGATGGTAGTTTGCCTTGGGGGTATTTGAGATTACTTATTTAAGGTGTTTATTGACTTATTGCGGTTTGACACAAGAAATAAGGAGTTTTAAGTGTTTCGATATGAATAATTCATAAACACTTATCGACTAAAATAAGGAGTTTTTGATAAGTTACTTACTCCTTACTTATTTGATTTATTTAATAAGTTCCTGATAAATGATTTCCTAATCACACACATAAGCACCATTTGTCAAACACTAAAAATTAATTTATTAGTTTATTACGTTCTGCTACCAGATAAACTAAACAAAACACTTTTTGTAAAACTTCGTTTTGACATCGGATAAGCTAATAAACAGTTATACTAAAAAGCACAAGTTGTTTTAAATAAGCAATCCCAAACACCCCCTTGATCTTTTGATAAAATCAAGCAATGTTCCCTTTGAAATGCTTCTTTCCCAAAATTGATGATTATTTAATATACTTTTGATATTTTAAAACCTTTTTTTTGGAGGATTTGATTGTAGGATTGAATTGTTTCCCTTATAAGCTAGTTATGGTGTGACAAACGTAGTCTTAGTCATACATAACATGACAAATACATGCTAAATCGCGTCAATTTCGTTTCGAATTTTGAACGCAAACATAACACCATACGATGTCGTGTATTTACCAATGGACACAAACACAAAATTTAGTCGCAATTTTTGTCTCACATCATGTAATTTTTGTCTTATTATATGATCAATTTTGTACGAGAAAAAAAACCCCGCATACATGATTAGAGATAGGTAACCGCTTTGATCAATTAAAAAGAATTCACTAAACCCATACACAATCTAGATAGTCAACATCACCGAATTAGATAACATAGTCTAACATAGATAATAAGGTTGTTATGTAGGTAAATGGTTTCATATTTGATTCGGTGGATAGATTTGCTTTTATGCAGTTTTGAAAATCGGACCGAACATTGAACTCATCGATTTATTTGTTCGATAGTCTAAAATACCGTCATATATTAAATTTATTATCAAAATATACTAATAATAAAGTAAATACCATAAAAATGTGTTTACCTTGGTTATTGGACTACACATTAAAAAATAACAAAACAATTATTAATGTGAATAAGAGCTGAAAGTTGGAGGGTCATTTTGGTACATATGTCCATATATAAAGAAAAGAACGTTTAGGGTTTTCTACGGCATTACTCCTGCAGCCGCTCACCCTCACCCTCACCCTCAAACTCCTCAGGCGGAATTTATACTCCGACTACAAGAGATATGTCTTCTTCTTTTAATCAGTGGTCCGGTATTGAAGAAGGGTTTATGGCATGTCGAACATTCGTGGTTGAACCCCGGATCACCAAAAACCGGCGGGTAAATTTCTTAGATTTTCTTCTCCTCCATCGATTTGTTATTCGTATGCCATTAACCTAAGTCGATTACATGTATATGCTCCATATTCATTTGTTTTCTTCTTCTATCTTTTCTCTAGTTCTATGTATCGAATTTATTGAAGATTTGGACTGAATAAAAATCATGAGCACATAAGTAATACAATCGGTTATTGAAATGAGGAGCGAATCAAGTTCTGAACGCCATAAAAAGAATTATAATTGAACGTAAAATTAGGTAATTGTTCTTCCTTTTTTTTTTACAGAAAATAGATTAAAATCAAAAGAAACTTACTTGTTTATTTTGCAGGAAAATGGATGGAGAAGGATGGTACACGAGTAGAAGACATATAGAAAGCAAAGGAAAAAAACGTCGATGTGTTTGGAATAAATTTTTGGCTATTTGGAAGATTTTTCAGGAAGCAAATATTCAAAATTTGAAATTTGAATATGCGTTTTTTCAGGTGAGTATTCATAAAAAATATTTATTTCCTTAATTAAAACAACAAAAGATATATTTTTATTTATGTTTCCAATCTGCATAATTTTTTTTATTGATTTAATAAAGTTACATACCAAATTGTTAGGCTGTTACGATTTCACCACCTAGAATATGTATATTTGTATTATAATATATTATCTTGTTAGTATTTCATGAACGCAATCAATAACACTTGTGTGCTTTGATAAAGAGCTGCAACATACACATTATTGTACTTTGAACTTTATCTTATTAAGACATTGTACTTTTAAAATTTTACCCAATTTACACATTTACCCTTTTGTCTAATTTTAACTAAATCTGCTATCGATATGTAATTCCAGGTTTGGGCAATTTTTATCAGTTGGATCTTATTCATACAATTCAACATACACAAAGATTTAGTATGTTGTCTCAGTTAAAACATCAGAATACATGACTGTCAAAAACAATTGGAAGGTAAATGACCATTTTAACATCCAATTTATTTAAATATTTTTTTAACAATGTAAATATTGGACCAATAGTGTATTATTTTTTATATTACAAAAATCTCCCATGTCTAAGATATTAAACAGGATGATTCATGTAAAACAATTTTATGACACACAGACATTCCTTTAAAACTATAGCAATGTTCTTTGAAATAGGGACATTCTCTTTAAAATTTTAAAAAGCAGGGACCAATTTGGTCATTTATCTAAGTAAAATGTTATAATTGGGAATCTATAATCTGTTAACAGTTGAAGATAATAATCCACACACGTTATATTTGGATAATTTACAAAGTGCAATGCAGTAATAGGAAGAGAATAAAGTAAGATGTTATAATAAACAAAAAAAAAAGTACATTAGTATTTCTTTCATTTAGTCTAATGAAAAAAGCAAAATATAGTTTGTTGTTATTTACAACAACTCACAAAAGAAAAAGGCAATACTTTATTAGTATTTACTACAAATCACAAAAGACAATGAAAGATAAAAAGGATAATATGTGTGTATGCATGTGTTTGATATATAACTGTACTATATTCATAGTAATAAGAGAAATCATGCTTTTTTTTTTAAACGACGATTCACCTTTTTGGAATGTAAATCAATAAAAATAAATGTTAAAATCTAATATCTGTCTAAATTTTCAACCAAATGCATAATTAAACGAAATGTTGAAATCTAATTGCCTTGGAATGCACAATTCCAATTCTTGGCTGCGAATGGATTACTAACATGTCATGAAATGGAATTTCGAATTCCAAGTCTGTTGGAATCCGCGGTTCCATTACTTACCTGCGGTTTCTAACATCATGAAATGGAATTTCAAATTCCAACTCTGCTGGAATCCGCGGTTCCATTTTTAACCTGCGGTTTCTAACATGTCTGTTATTGTTTTGATATGACAGCTCATTGCATAACTACTTCAAAAAAAACGACTGATTCTGTTTCCACTGGATTCTCATCCAAATCAAAAAAATCAAGTAAATTTATTATTATACCCTCACAAACTACACCACTAATTTGACAATTTACATAGTTTTTTGGGAAAAAGATGGGACTTCTACCCTCACAAACTACACTTCTTTTTCAGGATCATATCTATTTATCATATCCAACATAACTGAAATTTGTCCCAATTATGATGCAAACATGTCATGAAATGGAATTTCGAATTCCAACTCTGTTGGAATCCGTGGTTCCATTTCTTACCTGCAGTTTCTAACATGTATGTTATTGTTTTGATATTGCAGCTCATTGCATAACTACTTAAAAAAAACGTAATATGCTCCATTGTACCTTGTAATTTTAAAAAAAAATAACATATATTATAATAATGATAAATCAGATGAAATAATCATTTTTTTTGTTTATTATTTAAGTGTAGATTTACCAAGAAAACAATGAGAAAATTACATATTTACTGATATACCCTTAAAGGTATATAATGAGAAAAAAACTAAAAATCGAAAACTAAACAGAAAAAACCTGTATATTTAACAAAAAAATTAGGATATAAACAGGAAAATCGTAAAGCACTGATTGATTTATATATTTAATTGTATCACTTGTAAACATACTTTTCAAAAACAGATATAAACATAAAAATTATGATTCACAAAAACAGATATAAACAGATACATATTCAAAAACAGATATAGTGTAACAGGAACTTTAAAATGAAATTTGTAATTTTTTTGTTTATTATTTAAACGGGTTTGATAAATCACATGAATAAATCACATGAATTGATAATTTGAGTTACTTTTTCAACAGGTTTGTAGTTTATATGAATATGATGTGATTGCTGAAATGCCTAAAAGAAACCACCAACTGATAAAAGTATTTTCAAGTTTTCAGAAAACGTGTCATGTGGTGGGGTTTTTAAGAAAAATCGTTATGGAAGAATTATAGGTCTAACCATCCAAATACCCTAATTACGATTAAGTATTTAGATGAACCAAATCACTGGAGGAAGCAAATAGGTGTAGAAGAAATTGAATGGTCCTATGACTCTAATGTATCACATACAGTTATATAAGATACACACATCAAGAAAACTAAAAATCGACATACACAGATCGTGACTATATGTACCAGAATATTATACATAAAGAAATACCAATGTATCAAACTCTTATACATAACAGGTAAAAAAATAGAGGGAAAAGTGATGAAATCGATTAAGAATGTAGATGAAAAAGAACATCTAAAAGGTAAAGAACAATGTAGTTTTGCTGACCTGATGATGAATATGTGACCTCTGAAATCGTATTGAATAAAGCACGTTAACAGGAATCGTATTGACTTCTGAAATTGTATAGAAATATATCATCTCTTCCTAAACTGATTGCCTGATTTTTTGGGATTGATATAAAATGGAATTTAAATTGATTACCTGATTTATTGGGATTGATTGATATAAAATGGAATTTAAATTGATTACCTGATTTATTGGGATTGATTTGATCTTCAATATTCCACCGAATTAAATTTGAAATTTCCTGATTTATATATTTACTGATTGACGATTTATGTTTCCTGATGTGTACAGTAATATTTTCGAGAATAGAAGGGCAAAGTGGGAACTTCACTTATAATTTTTGAGCGGGAAAATGCAAGGGCGAGTGGCTAAGGGAATGCCAGGTGGCGTTTTTAGTACTGTTTTTATTAGTAGAGAAGAGAAGATATGTTATGGGGACATGCATATCTTAGGCCCAAATTTTGATCCATATAGTTGTCTCTAATTTTTTTATTTGAACCACGGTACATTGGGTAAAAAGCTAATGACAACTCAAAGCATAACTAGGTAATTTTTGATTTAAGATTTGAACAATGCAGCATGTTTTTTTCAGTGATCTTTGTTTTTTTTATTAGAACGATATGTTTGTTAGTTGCTAACTTGATTTTGTGTTCTAGTGTTGGTGCATTAAACCCCATAATTAGTTGTTATTGTTGCTGTAATCATATATCAATCCAGCTTCTTTAAATCCTTTACATCAGTTGTTTCTAAAGCCTCAAAATTAGTTTGCTAATCTGTAATGCGGCATTTGCAATCAAGTCCCAAAGTAGTGTCTAAAACATGTTGCTATTGTGTAAATGATTTAAAGATTCTCAAAAAGAAACATGCTAGTTCTTATGCTTTCATACATGATATAGAAGCTGATTTTCTTTTGTTGTTTCATTAACATTCAATGCTTTTCTTTTTCCTTAGAATTACCAGGATGCCTAAGGAAAGTATTTTCTTGGAAGAAAAATGTACATCTAAACCAATTCTTAAATCATCAAACTTGAAGATATGTATTGAAACAGACGATGATAGAAGCTTGAAAGCATATCCACACATGACATTGTGGATAAAGGTATCTTTTACTACTAAATTACTTTTAGTAGATTTTATTGGTTTTTATGTTTCAACATTTTTTTCTTTCAGAACATGAAAATGTGTGCAAAAGAAAGCTTTGGTAGATTAATAGAGAAATTGAACTCCTCTCACAGTCTCCGTTAAGACTGTAACACAATTGATGAAAGACAAGTTTTTTTTTTTTACTGTTTGTATTTTATATACGTCTTCATTATAATTTGTTATTTTTTTCTTCTCTGACGTTCATGAGATCACCTATTCATTAAGGGTATGGAGTGGAAAAAATAGTTTCCACTATTTTTTTTATATATATGGTAATTTGTTTGTTCTTCAATTTGTTTTAACTAATGAATGGACTCTTAACTTTTTTTTTTTCATTATCTTTAGAAAATTAATTCATATCTTGCAGCTGGATATGATGCATGTTTGCTGGTGGAACATGCTGGATTGAAAACAATGATGGATTTAAGCTTCTCACATAACTATCCAAAAGTTGGATTTCCGTGTGAGGTACATATTTAATCTCTTTTACATTTCTCATTCATAACTTGAAATTCAACTAAAAACCTTTTTTAATGTGCAGAATCTTGGCCAAGTTGTAGCTCATTTGACCACTATAGGCTTTACTATGGTAAGTTTCGTTAATTTGTCACATAGTGTACTATTTAGCCGGGCATGTGAAGCCCGGATAATGTCTACAAGAGTCAAACAAGGAAAATCCATACAATGTACAATAGATTGTAACTGAAATCTGTATGAACGAATATAGTGGAATGTCTGAATGCTGCTGTCTCATTCCCGATCAAATTGTTCCTCCCTCTACACTCGTTAGGTCAATTGTCTTTCTCATGACTAAGGATCACGAAAATGTTTATGCGGGAGAAGTAATTTCAAAGATCATTTGTCTGATTATGCTTAAGATGACTAAAATTATATTACTTTTCATCTATTGATAACATTTATATGCAGTCTGAAAATTTAAAGGAGATGGTTCCTAGGAAGGGGATGAATGAAGCTTCTGTTATCTATTTTTATCGCATCAAATAAAAGCATTGGTCGCCTTATGAATACTGTACTAATTAAAAGACTTCCACATTATGGGTATACAATTGAAGGCGAAGGTTGTGAACAACATTGGAGCTGCGTAGATTGGTGTATGTGAATTGCAATATTAAAAGAAGATAAGATTGTCAAGATGTGATCCATATACGAAGTTTGATTACAAATAAAAATAAAACATTTGGAGATCGATGCTTAGTTTCTTATGACATGTCTTATTTTTTGTTTGTAATCAAACTTCGTAGATGGATCACGTCTCGACAATCTTATCTTCTTTTAATGTTGCATTTTACATACACCGATCTCCGAAGCTCTAACGGTGTTTTCCAGTTTCACTTTTAATTGTATACTCATAATGTGGAACTTTTGTTGATTAGTACAATCTTTATAAGTCGGACAATGCTTTTGTTCGGCGCGATGAAATAGATAACAAAAACATCAACCATCTCATTTAAAATTTCAAACTGCAAGATATAAATACTATTAGTAGATGGATAATAATATAATTTTAGTAATCTGTAATCATGAACACACAAATGATCTTTGAAATTACCTCTCTCATATAAATATTTTTGTGATCCTTGGTCATGAGGAAGCCAGTTGACCTAGCCAGTGTGGAGGGAGGAACAACTTGATCCAGAGTGAGACAGTAGCATTCAAACATCCCAATTATATTTGTTCATATAGATTTCAGTTACAATCCATTTTAGATTGTATGAATTTTCCTTGCTTGTCTCTTGTAGACATTGTTCGGGCTTCACATGCCCGGCTAAGTAGTGAACTGTGTGACAAATTAACAAAACCAACCACAGTAAAGCCTATAGTGGTCAAATGAATTACTATTTGGCCAAGATTCTGCACATTAAAAAAGGTTTTTAGTTGACTTTCAAGTTATGAAAGAGAAATTAAATATGTACTTCACAAGGAAATCCAACTTTTGAATAGTTATGTGAGTAGCTTAAATTCGTTATTGTTTTCAATCCAGCATGTTCTACCAGCAAACATGCATCATATCCAACTGCAAGATATGAATTCATTTCCTAAAGATAATGAAAAAAAATTAAGCACATTAATTAGTTAAAACAGATTGAAGAACAAACAAATTACCATATACATAAAAATTTCTTGTGGAAACTGTTTATTCCACTCCTCCATACCTTTAATGAATAGGTGATTCCGTGAACATCATACAAAAAAAATAACAAATTATAAAGAACACAAAATACAAACAGTAAAAAAGAACTTGCCTCTCATCAATTGTGTTAAGGGAGACTGTGAGAGAAGTTTAGTTTCTCTATTAATCCAATAGAGCTTTCTTTTGCACACATTTTCATCTTCTGAAAGAAAAAATATGGAAACATAAAAACCAATAAAATCTATTAAAGGAAATTTAATAATAAAAGATATCTTTATCCACCATGTCATGTGTGGATATTGTTTCAAGTTTTTATCATCAGTTTCAATTATCAAGTTTGATGATTTACGAATTGGTTTATATCATGTATGAGCAACAGAAAACATAAGAACTAGCATTTTTTTTTTGATAATCTTTAAATCATTTACACAATAGCAATATGCTTTAGACACTACTTTGGGACTTGAGGCTTTAAAAACAACTGATGTAAAGGATTTAAAGAGTCCTTTAAAGAAGCTGGCTTGATGTAGATTACAGCAACAATAACAACTAATTGTGGGGTTTAATGCAGCAACACTAGAACACAAAATCAAGTTAGCAACTAACAAACATATTGTTCTAATAAGAAAAACAAAGACCACCGAAAAAAACATGCTGTAATATAAGTAGTTCTTTGTGGTGGTATTTTATCATTTTGATTTGTTTGTATATTTGGAGTCATAATAAACTTTTTAGTTAACAACCATGTTTTGAATTTAATAATTTACGAGATTTTATTTAGTTTGCTAAATGTTTATTTAATATTAATAAAAATAATTTTTAATATCATGTGACTAATAATAATACATCAACAATTCAACACCCTCCTCAAGACATACACAACTAGAGTTTTTTTTTTTTTTTTTAATATTCAATCAGGTAACCTATGTGAATTAAAAAAATTCTAAGTTTTTTCATTTCATAACCTTCACATCTTTTGTAAATTTGCAAGGTCAATAGACAAAGCCTTTTCATTTACCTTATAGATTAATTAATATAGGTAGGAATTAGTATGGTTTCACAGTTGGCATCAGGTTCTGATCCAAAGGTTAAGGAAAAAAAAAGAAAAAAAAGAACTAGGGGTGGGATTCCAACTTAGACCTCTTTCCAATCATACTAACACATTAACCATCTGGCCGAGCATGCCACATTAACTATACCTTTTATACTATTTAAGGAAAATACAAAAAGAAATACGGGTGGGACTCGAACTCGAGTATCTCTAATACCATGTCTAACTTTCTATCATCCGGTTGAGAATGCTACATCCATATTTAAAGGGCTTTTGACATAAATGGCCTTAAATTTTATGTTTTTTTGTCGATTTTATCCCTGCAACGATTTTTGGTTCATTTATGCCTAATATTTTCAAAATTTTGTTCATATTCACCGTTTAGCCGGTTAGCCCCCTCTTAACCGGTAGCACCAGCTGACATGGCATTAACTTAAAGAGAAGTCGATGACGTCAGCACCTTTAATTAAAAATTAATTAGGGAAGCGAAATGTAGTTAGGGGGTTTCGAACACACAACCTCTCCCACACCTAACCAAGATAGCCACGAACACACAACCTCTCCCACACCTAACCAAGATAGCCACCGGGCTAAAGACATCTTCATGTAAAATTTGTTGAATACTTCTACATAATGACTAAAACGCTGGAGTCTTTAAAATATATTATTATTATTATTATTATTATTATTATTATTAATTTATTATTATTATTATTATTATTATTCATTTTTATGAATATTGAAATACGTTGAAATGTATAAATCCATTTTATACATATAAATAACGTTTTTAAACTTACAAATAACATGTTTATATGTTTAAATATGTAAAAAAAATATATAACTTATATGTATAAAACGTGTTTTTTATATATAAATGTTATATTTTTTATATAAAACATTTGAATATATATATATATATATATATATATATATATATATATATATTATAATTATATATATGTATAAAAAAATGTTATTTTATGTATAAAATTGTTATGTATAAGTATGTATTATATATGTATTTTATCATTTGTATAAGTACTTTACAAATAAAAATGTTATACGTATAAAAAACGTTTTTTATATGTATAAAGAAACATAAAAAATGGGTTTTAAAGGTATAAATATTTTTTTAAAGGTATTTATATATGGAAAAACATATTTATACATTTAAAAATCTATTTAAACATTTCAAAATGTATTTATACATTTGTAAGCGTGTGTATACCTTCAAATACAAATGTGTATACCTTCATATACGAATTGCATACATTAAACGAATTATGCATTTTTACAAGTACAAAAAGGTATTTATTAATATTCTATTAATAAATACTAATAAACACGCTTGGTATACATTTAAATATAAATAAATACATTTGTATACCTTTAAAATAATATTTATGCATTTCAAATCGTGTATATATATATATATATATATATATCTATAGATATAGATATAATATATATATATATCTAGATATATATATATATATATAAAACAGTTTTATACATATTTTAAATGTTATTTATACTTATAAAACGGGTTATACATTTGAAACCATATTTCAATAATAATAATAATAAAAAGAATCCAAAATTTAATCGATATATACAAGATTTTAGTGGATTAGACGAGAAAGTTTCCATAGCCTGGTGGATGCGACGTGGGCTTAGTCTCTTTGAGGTCAGCAGTTCGAAACTCCGCGGCAACATTTGACGTCCCTTACTTCGATTTGACGTCAGCAGTTCGAAACTCCGCATCAACATTTGACGTCCCTTAATAGATGAGTTACCGGCTAAATGGACGGTATGAAAAAAATTTTGAAAATGTTAGGCATTAACGCACCAAAAATCGTTATAGGGACTAAACCGACAAAATTGACGAAACTAAAGGACTTTTATGTCAAAAGCCCCATATTTAAATGCTCTATTATAGTCTTTTTCCATACTAATAAAAGAATAGTTATTAGTGCCACATTATTTTCTCATAATTTATATTTTTTTTCAAATGCTCTATAAAAATGACACCTGAAATTTTCTAATCATTTTTTGTTTTTGAAAAGTATTGATGTCGATAATAAAGTTAGATAACTATTTATTTGATTTATGAAATTTTCTAATCATTTTTTATTTTTGAAAATCATTTTTTATTTTTGAAAAGTATTGCCGATAATTAATTGTATTTTTATATTTAAAAATTCTATAAAATCATTTTTAATTAATAATTTATTGAAAATAATTAATTAATAATTATGCGTTTACTATAAAATTTTAATTATTTTTATAATCGTGGTTCCTACGGGCGATAACTTAGTTATTAAATAATTCCTTTTTGGTTTATTTGTTACTAGTATTATTATTTCCATTTTTGTTTTTGAGTATTGAACATAGTTTTTTTAGTATCATTATTATTATTACTACTATTATTATTATTAAATAATAATAATAATGATTTATAAAGTCGTGTGCATCTTTGGGGTCTGTTATTTTATTATATCCTCCACTATAGCTACTAATATCATTTATAAACTTGTGTGCGGCTTCGGGATCTTTTACAAACATATACACATTATTATTATACAAGATTGTTTTCGTTTTCTTTATTATATCCTCCACTATATGTATGTGTATGTATGTTTGAATTGATGATGGCGATAGCAAATTGCACATGAGGTATGTATTTATGTGTATCAAAAGTTACAAGTATTAATATGCTTTATAATGTTAAGGCATGAAACGAGTATTTTACAAAAAAAATGTATTTGAAGTGAAAAAAACGATGTTCGGTGCCCAAAA